GGGGCTTCCATGATAAACCAAGAATGAGGACAAGTTCACTGCAGATAGAATTTTAGCTTTATTCTCCTGAATGAAAGTGTGTCCTATAGTAGAAGAATAAAGGCTAATTGTGTAAATGAGATTTGGTTTATTCCTAATCAATAATGTAGGAAAATACCTTTGGCAAGGTAAACATGTTCAGTTTCCCTGCTGCACTTCTTCACTACTTTTTAAGTTCCATTCTGAACTGCAGTCAGCAAAAGTTTTTTGTTAATATATGCAAAATCACAGACACAGCTGATCTTGAATATGCAGAAAATGCTACAAAAAAACATCTGTGGCAAGTGAAAAACTGTCAGGTCACTGATTAGAAATTCATTGTCAGATTGGGCTGTTTTTACTTGTCTGTTCAGACAAACTGCAGGGGATGTTTCTCCTGGGTTTCTATTTAATGGACAATTCTGTACTTCAGTACACTTTTTAGAAAATAAAATGCAATTTCCAAGCCTCATTTGAAGACATTGTGTCCTTTTCTGAATTACTTTTCTCCTCATTGGTGATTAAATATCTCTGTGTTTTGTCTGATTCTTTCAGTAATGTTCATCTTCAACGCTTATGACATCACCATTGCTTTCATGATAATGAAACGCATTGTCACCAGAACTGTTCTGTGAAATAACCCTAATTGTCCTAAATGCTACAGCTGGGACAATGGTAAGGATGAGCAGCTGATTGGGAAAAGTAGTGTCTAAGTCTACAAAACCATGATAGTCAATGAGGAGCAGAGATGGCTTTGAAACTATTTCAGAAAATATGAACAGGCTTTCCAATAACTTCACAAGTTTAAAACAACTATTTTTGTTTGGACAGTTCCTCTAATGTACAGTTGACAAAGGCTTCCTGGGATTGCTGTGTCAGCAGTATGTCCCAAGGGCATATTTATATCTTGGTGCTAACCCAGAGCTCTGAGGTAGATTTGGTATTGTTCATGCAAGAAGTGGAAGTATTTTCTACCAATGAGGTTTTCCACATCACATGGTGCCACACCTCTTGAGGGAAGAGTGGGCCTCTGTTCTGATGGACAATGGTTCATTTTCATCTCCTGCTCTGTTCTGGCTGGTTTTGGAATATATTTGGATGTTACAAATATCTTATTTCCTCCTAATTAAATCTTTGTAATTAAATTAATTGATTTATTTATCTTTTAGGATTTTGTATTACCTGTCTTTATATCTTAATATATCTGAGTCTGGTAGCAATAGCATGGAGCCCCATAGCTGTTTTTCTTTAATGTAATATTCCTTAAGTAATATGATCACTCTCTATTCTTGAAGTAAACTAACAGTGTTGGCAGCTACATTAGATTAGAGAACGCAATATAAATGTGTACCTATAGGAATAGTTTAGACTTTCTTCTTTAATGAACTTCAAAGAAGTTCCTTGTAGATGGTATAATTGATGTGACTTTCTGTAACAATTGTTAGGAGGCAGAGGTTCTTGCTCACAAATATAATTTAGACTGTGGAATGGCTATTAGAAGAGAAGATGCAAAATTGACTAGCAGTACATGAAATGCTATTACTGTGTACATTTATTAAGCTACTGTTTGCTCAGTGGAAGCACCTCTGCAAATGGTTATAAACTTACAGAATTGTAAACAATTTCTCTACTAACAACTACAGCATCCCTAGACAATCTAAATCTTCCAAAATTGTGGCAATCTTAAAACATCTTTTCTTCTAGTCAGCTAGAAATATTAATTTCTTTTTATGGATGTATTTAAGACAGAAATATTTCCCATCTTCACCTCTTTGGGACAACTCTAATGCCATACAATTGCATGGAAATCTACAAATCACATTTCAATGCTTGGCATGGTAAAGGGAAATGTGACATAAGGGATGTAAGTTTTAAGTGGTAGATTTCAGTGAAAGGTGATAGCCGATATATGTGAGATACTCATTTCAACCTGAGAAGTAAATGGTATTTATAGAGATAAAATACCAGAATACAAGCAGGCAGGCACTTAAAACATTTTTAAATTAATTTTTCTGTTATTTCTGTTAATTGGAGAGAATTTTGTAAAATGTGACAAAAAGGATGCTAATTTTTATTGAAAACATTTGATTTTAAAAACTCTTTGCTTTTATTTGGCAAAAAAAAAAGATGTGTAGTGTGGGAAAAACTTTTCCAGGAGGAATGTGGAATAGAATAAGCTAAGATATTTTGAGGCTGGAACTCAGTTTATGAATATCATTGTATACCGTGGTCACTGTTACTGCAATAATAGGATATGAGCCATGATAACCTTTATAATTCTATGCTAATTCTGGCTTCAGTCATTTGTAAATGTAATGGTGTACCACCACCGGTTTCTTTCCTTTGTTCTTCTGCTACAGATGTGGGAGCATATGTAGGGCAATTTGATTAGTCTCTGGTCACTCATTATTGTCTCAAAACAATGAAAAGAAATATGCAGGGTTATGCACCTTTGGGAATGACATGCTTCTACCACTTTGATTGTTCAAGACGGTTTCTGAGGTGAGATTCAGGCAGGTTCAGACTCCTAAGATAACTGATACCACAAAATGATTGAAGATAGCCGTAAATTCATGTTCGAATGTTATTCAGTGTCTGTATTAAAATTCAGATTTTTTTTCACATTTTTTTTCTTATGGCTCTCTAATCTCTGTATTCTCCCATGTCCTGGAATGCAAAATAAACCTAATATTAATTGAATTTATCATTATTTCACATTCTTCTGGTGAAACTTGAGTCCATCAGCTCAGTTCCAGGAATATTCAGTTTTTAACATGTAGGATTCCTTGTACTCTATGCGCCGCACGTTGGCACTGGCATCACATCTGATGGAGGAATTTTGGCAGGTAATGGTTAACTTATTTTATTTTCCTCTTGCAAGTTCGAAGTTTATGAAACAGAAAGGTAACACTACATCTTAGCATAACTGTTACTAATGACATTTGAGACATTCGGATTAAAACTGCAAGTTGAAAGTGGCATTGCAGTATGTCTTGGAAAACTGTAATGTGATATTGCTGGTTAATATATATAAATGGCTTTGTTTTGATTCTGCTTTAGTCAACACACTAAATTTTAGTAGGATGAATGTGACATTACAATTAAGTAACTAATAACTGTTCAGGAAAAATCTGAAAACTCATTTTTCCTTACAGATATGTTTCTTTGAAAATATTACTACATTTAAACTACTATTTCTTTATGCTGTCTAGGGAGGCTAGGTAGACAGAAACCACAGAAGAAAGGCAAGGCTGTTTTTCAAGGATCTATTGCATGACACAGCATATTTCCAACATTCTGATAGGATTTGTATTGTGACTGATTTGTCAGGACCAGGCAGGATTCGAGGACTTAACAGTCCAGAGACAGAGGCTTGCTTGTAGCCAGGGCTCCAGCATTATCATAGACTCACTGAATGGTTGAAATTGGAAGAACTCTTAAAAGATCATTTACTCCAGCCACCCTGCCATTAGCAGGGGGAATCTTTCACAAGATTGGGTTGCTCGAAGCCCCATCCAACCTGGCCTTGAACATTAAAAAACTGATTCACAAAAATCATAGTACTGAATCTTATCTACACACACGGACTCACTAACCCTTAGGTGCTAGTACCTTATGAGATCAGAGAAAAATAATTTAAAATGACTTTTCTAAAATAATTGATCAATGATTGAGGTTAATGAGTATTAAGCCCCAGCCTGTTTTGTAAAATTGGAGCTGCTTTATTTGATGAAATTAATCAAATAAATAAAATAAATAAATCATATCACTCCAAATATGCTAGTATGCTAGGCACAATCCAAATCATTGCAAACTATTTCCTCTTTCTAGAAAAAAAGTAAAATTTTAAGGATGTGATATGTCACAGTCCTTCCCAAATCAAAAGTAATACCATGCCCATAATGAATTAGCAAGTCCACTGGCAATATTTCTTCAATATATTATGAAAGATAAGGTTTTATGATCAAATACATTTTTGATCAATTTATTTCATCACTTACCACCTAACTGTTTCATTATGACATTTTGTCCCTCCCCATAACGAAACGATTTAATATACTGTATAAAATTACTGTGTTTCTCAAAAAAGTTAATCAAACTATTGTCAGCTTATGTCTGAACTAGTGCCCTGAAATTAATATATGAGCTGTTCAAAATATCATTTATAAATTACTTTCCTTGATAAATTCCTCTAATTTAAATATATTTACTGGAACTTTATGAAATACTCTGCAGCTGAGAGACTTAGTCCTTTTAAGTTCATTCTAAGAACATTTAAAAACACTTATAAAAGTTTGAAACTACAACAACCACACCTTGCAGAAATTCATCAAGATATAAATTAAATGCTCTGAATCTCTGAGTACTCTGATAGTGTCCAATAATTCAATATTTATCACTGGCAACCAGATATTTTTCTAAAGTACCCAGTCTGCCCCACTGAAATGGGAAGCAAAAACATTCATATCATTTAAAAAATGACACTTTTACTTCCAGAAGTAGCTAGTTAGTGACTTTATCTTGAGCTTTCCTCTATATCTGCTTTCTGGGATGACAAGATAAAGATCAAATAAATTTAAATGTTCGATAATAAAATGAAAGATGAAATAGAAACATTTGGCATTTCAAAAAAGCTAAACTGTACTTAGAGTGATTTGACACCTGTATGTGTATCTTTGATACTGCTTTAAGAAGCCTTGCAAGAAGTAATTTTGTTTTCAGTGAGCTCTGATTTTATTTTTGACTTGTATTTTGCTTTAGGAAAAAATCTGTTCTGTATACACTTTTATATGACATGATGTTACACTGATATTCTCACTAGAAAGAGATTCCAGGGGGAAAAATAAAGGAAAGCTAAATTAAATCCTAATTAAGAATGTTCTGAGAAATTCCAAGCCCAGCAGACTCCAGGGTCTGGAGCACACACGCTCACAGAGGCCACCAACATGACCTCATACACAGAGGCTGCCAGAGGTGGAGCAATGTCCCCAGCTAAAGCACCGTCCACAGGTAGATCCTTCTCCCACTGCTTTAACTCAGACCCCCATACACCCTGGTTTCTCCTGTTGCTTCCTATGGGATCTGCAGCCCACAGTTTCCCCTTCACACACTGTTGCTTATACTTTTTAGTGCCTGTACAAATACACACTCTGTCCCTCTAACCTCTGGCAGCTAGACTTAGGAGCATTGTGGCCACCACTGACTGTCCAGTGGCTGGAATTTAGACCATGAAGTAAATATATCACAAGTATTACCTCTCTGCCTGAGCAGGCTTGTCCTTGAGCGCATGAAGAGCCCACAACCTCTCTGGGTAACCTGTTCTGGTACTCAGTCATCCATTCAGGAAGGGAGCCTTCCTCATGTTCAGCCAGAACTTCTTCCGCTACTGCTGCCTCCTACCCTCATCATTTCTTCACTAGCAGATGATTCATATATTGAAATAAACTGGAGCTGCATCCGAATGTTTCAATATTGGATTTATGGGCTAGACATGGCCTTCTTTGCTCCCTTCTGTCGCAAATGTGCATGGTGCATGTCAAAATACTGACAATTTTAAGTGCAGTTGTTATACAATGGAAACAGCTGTCACCCTCAACCATTTCTGTACTATGTATTTCATAAATATAGTCTGAAGAACCATTTCCTGCTCCAAAACACTTACATTTCAACCCCAAAGAACAAGTATAAGCAAGAATAACAAGTATAACACAAGAATAAGCAACATGAAGCACCAAATTTGGGTTTATCTCTCTTAATTTTAGACCTAGTCAATACCATAATAGATTTCATTTGTGTATCTCTGTGTGAACCATGACAATAAATCTCTAAAAAGATGCTTCAAAAGATGCATCAGTAGGTCATGACTCTGCTAATGGATGTCTTTTTACAGACAAGCTTAATGACTCTGACAAATGAGCTTTAGAGAATCATGTAAGGCCACTTAAGAGGTTACTGTTCTGCCCCCAGCTGTCTGCCAAATCCCCTGCTAATTACTACCACCCACAAAATTAGTAGAAGTAGAAATAATGTGAGCTGATTCTTTATCCCTAATAAAACTCCATCAGTTGAGCCTGTAGCTTATGAAAAAGACCGTAAGCTGGCACTGCTCTTCTATACCATACTTACAAAGCAATTTCTCACCTAACGATGAGGTATGAATCTTCATAGTGGTGCTATGCAGGATCAAATTGAAACCTGACAATAGAAAGCAAAATTGAAGTGTTACATTTGGTTTTTGTGGGGGGTTTTAGGGGTTTTCTTTCTTTTTTTTTTTTTGTTTGTTGGTATTTTTGTTGTTGGTGGTTTTTTTTGTCAATAAACAGATGTGATCAAATATAGAATCATAGAATCACAGAAGTGTTTGGTTCGAAGGGACCTTAAAAGCATTCACAACTTAAAGTAATGTTTTTCCTTGCCTTTGATTTTCCTTGGTTGAGAGATGTCTTAATGAAGAAAAGATTGTCTTCATTATATGCTTATTCCTTGTTTTAAGATACTTGCATGGTTAGTATTACTGTGAAAGGGGTAATCAAAATAACATTGCAGTACCTTTTATTTTGTCCTTTCTTTTCTCTTGATCATGATCGGTTGCTGTAAATGTAGCAGTCATAACAAAATTACACTGTTGCTTGGTTATAGTACTTTGAAGTACTTTGAAGAACTGTTTTCTACCTTGTTTGATCTAAGAAGTTGAAAAAATATTGCATTAAAGGAAAGGGGGTTGTTTATTTGTTATGGAAACATGACTTTTCCCCCCAGTGTCTTTTTTACTAATATATGCCTAGTTTTTGATCAAACAAGGACTTCAAATTTGGACTTAAATTTTAGTGGGCAGACTCATACCATTCTAGCTGAATGAACAGTTAAATGATTTTTTGACTTGGGATCCCTTGTGCTCTCAGCCTATTTCCTGAGATAAGCACTTTGTAACTAAGATGTAGACTGTTCTAACTCCTAGTGTCTAGCTGGGTTTAATCTTTATTCCTCCTGAAGGTTCTTGGTTTTCATCAGTTTGTTTCAGTGAACTCAGTAAGCGAAACTCTTTGATATTAGATAGGCTGGAATATCACTTGCTGTAGATTTCCAGTCTTATTTGCTCAAACTGCAGACACTTTGTAGATGCAAGTTTTCTTACACTTTGACCATCTGCAATACTTCATGCCAAATCTTTCTATCAGTTGGGCTTCTTGGTGGTACTGTATTTCACCCAGAAATTACAGCTGTAGTATTTTAGTGTTGGCAAAAACGTTATCTGTAAGGTCTCAGCTGGGACTCAATACTGAAAATAAGTTATCTCATTCAATAGCCATGCTATATTTCCATTTAAAATGGAAAATGTAATAAGAAAAGATTGACCATGACGTTTAATTTTCCATCCACCAAGCAAGATGATTTTTCTGAAAGAGGATTTTTTATTCAGTAAAATACATTTCTGAGCAATATTGTGATAATGAGATTTTAAATGAAAAAGGATTGCATAATGATATTAATGGCATTCTGAAACTAATGTTGTATAATGTATATGTTGTTGTGCATCAATCCTAAAAAGCAATAGAATTTTTGAGGTTACTTGTGAAATTTATCTAGTGAACAGAAATGTATAGGAGCTGTATAAGACTTCAAAATCATGCCATTGTTAAAATCAAAATCATGAGTTACATGTATTTAGAATTCAAACAAAAAAAATCAAGGAGTAACACAAGCATCACATTTAGTGGATGGTAGACTGAAGAGCAGAAAAACTTGTTTTCAAAGTTCGATAAAAACTGATCACAAAAAAACTATTTAAATGGTTTGAGATAAGACCCCCAAAATGGTTAAAGGAAAAACTATCAGTGTCATTAATGCCAGTATAATCCTATTTCACAATTTTTTGTCTATGAATTTCTAGATGTTATATGAATTGCCATTTCTAATGAGAGATTATAATTCCTATTTCTTGAAACTGAAATATGTGAAAACTAGCTTTCATAGTTCATAATTATCCTTCTGAGAGGGAAAGTCAAGGACCAAATCTGAAATTCTGAAATAGCCTACAAGTTAACACACTGCAGGAATACTGATGGACTCTGTTCAAGTATCTGGGTGATGAAAGGATTGTACAAGCCAATGCATGACATGTTTAATGCAATATGTAGGCATGAATCAAAGTCTGGTGCTGCAAAATCTGTAGCTTTGGCAGATGTTTCAGAAGCACAGCACTACAGCAAACAAACAAGGAAGAGACCCAGTTGTGAGTCTTTTTGATATAAATGAGAGGAAAGCAATGAAGCAAAGCAAATTCTCCATATCCCTCTCCTCCCCTCCAGGCTGCAAATGTCTCAGAGGTCCAAATCTCAGAACATGAAAAGTAACTTTGAATTTAGGAAAGATACAACTCATGCAAAGAAGTTTTACAGTATAGTTCCACAAAAATGGTATGATTCATACTGAACTATCCATTGAGCTTGCTTTGGGCAACAGTGAATCAGCTTTCAGACTTTTGTTTATCGGGGTGAGAAAGGGCTTCTACTAGGCATATAAAACATCATTGTTGAGAGACAAAAATGAGATTGAAAAGATTTTTTTTTTATCTGGAAATGCATTCTCTGTTTGGTTGTGTACAAACCTTGTGGTTTTCTTCATGAAAATAGTCCAAAGCCTTTACTTACTTCAATTGAGGTTTATTCTTCTACATTTTATACAACTAAAAAGAAAATATCTGGAGTAAGAGAATGATCTGAGTTTTTTAAATCTAATCAGTGCTGAGAGAAGGAGACTTTTTAAAATCATATCTACTTGGCACTGAAATAAGGGCATACCATAAATAGAATAAATCATCGTTATAATAGAAACTTTCTCCTGACTGTATGACAGGCTGGTTGATTAGCTTGGACCAGATACTAATCTCTTAGAGGGCTAAATTTAAACGACAAAATTTATACCATAAGTTTCATTTAAAAATATGAGGCAGCCTTCCCTCAAGAAGACTAGCAACCAAATCAAATCAGCCCTTGGAATTTTTTTCTCTAGTGTGTAAATGAGAAGAACACTATTAAACTCTGGCCAAGGTCAACATCAATGCTTATTAATTAGTGCTCTTAAATGCTTTGTACAAGCTCTCTGTGTTTGAAATCTAAATAATTTCTTTTAAAGTAGTTGGGTGTGGTTCTCCAGTATCTTTTAGGAATTCTACTTTGAATTTCTAAGTTTCCAACTCTCCCTTACAATCTTAGAGGATTTGTACACTTCTCTCATTTCCATTATTAAAGATAACATTTTATAACAATTAAATATAATAGCTGGCTATTACACTACAGTTAACCAGAAGCCATTCATTTTAGAATCTTCTTCTACCTGGAATTCAGCATAGCTGTTGACACTGTCTCCCATAGCATTCTCCTGAAGAAGCTGGCAGGCTATGGCTTGGACAGATGTACTATTCTCTGTGTTAAAAACTGTCTGGATGGACAGACCCAGAGAGTAGTGGTGAATGGAATTGCATCCAGTTGGTGGCCAGTCACTGCTGGGATTCCCCAGAGATCTGTGTTGGGCCCAGTCCTGTTTAAAGTCTTTAGTGATAATCTGGATGAGAGGATTGATTACACACTCAGTCAGTTTGCAGATACATAAACTGGTTGTGAGTGTCAATCTGCTGAATGGAAGGAAGGCTCTACAGAAATATCTGCACAGGCTGGATCCATGGGCTGAGATCAACAGAATGGTTCAACAAGTGGAATAACAGGTCCTGCACTTCAGTCACAAGAACCCCAGGCAGTGCTACAGGCTGGGGGAAGGTTGTTTGAAATGGAACATGAGCCAGAAATGAGATTAGAGGGCCAGGGCAGTGAATGTCTCCTTGTACTCAGCATTGGTGAGGCCACATCTTGGGTCTTGTGTTTATTTTTGGGCCTCTCATTCAAGAAAGATATTGATGTTCTAGGCAGGTGTCCAGAGCAGGGCAACTAAGCTGGTGAAAAGTCGGGAGACAAAGGCATATAATGAGTGGCTAAGAGGAATTAATTCTATTAATTAATTCTATGATTCCAGCATGTTTAAGTCTGATAGCTTAAAAAAATATCTACGGTTATGTCAGTATGAAAATGTTTTCCCTCCACAAAAGCATGGACATTCACAGTTAAATATGACAGCTTTTTGTCATGGTTTTACCTGAGTCAGCAACCAAGCCTCAGGCAACCTCAGGGTCATTCACATGGGGAGCAAACCAGAAAGGTGAAAGCTAGAGAATTTGTGGGTTGAGATAAAGACAGTTTAATAGGGAAATTAAAAGCTGTGCGCACAACCGAAGTAAAATAATTCACTGCTTCCCATGGCAGGCAGGTGTTCAGTCATCTCCAGGAGAGAAGGGTCCCATCACACATAGTGGTTACTTGGGAAGACAAACACTATCACCAAATGTTCCCCCAACACCCTCCCTCCTCCTTCCCCCCACTTTATATAATGAGCATGATTGTCATATAATCTGGATTATCACACTGGTCAGTTGGGATCACCTGTCCTGGCTGTGTCTCCCCCCAGCCACACATTCCCCCCAGCCCACCAATATGACTGTTCCAAAACAGGAAAGGCCTTGGCTCTGTGTAACCACGCTCAACAATAACAAAATCATCTCTGTATTATCAATTCTGTCAGTGTTCAGCACAAATACAGAACACAGCCCCATATCAGCCACTGTGAAGACAATTTGACCCAGCGGAAACCAGCACGCTTGCCTTTCTTATGTCGCTGTAATCTCTCAGGATGATGTGATACATTAAGTACTCATTCAATCCAATGTTTGAACTCAGTTGAGGATTATGAAAACTCCAATGGATATTTGGGTACAGCCTTGACCAGGATGTAAATAACATGAATGACTTTTAGGACTTTTAGACTGGCTATACATGTTAAGGAAGGTCTTTTTACTACTTTGTAAAGTGTTTTCCCTCCTCCTTCTCCTAAGGTTCTCAGCTCCATGGGCTGCCTCCCCAGTCTATAGCTGAGCACAATAGAACCTGGTTTTAAAGGGACTTCTAGTGAAACATCAAACTTCGAAAAAGCTAAATCTGATTTATTTTTCCAAATGATGGTGTGAATTAAAGGTGGCTTAAAAATATCTGAAGATTATTTTACTTGGACTTTGCATTGTTTTTTTAAAAGTTAGCTAATGTATTTTAGTAATATCACTGTTCTCAGACTTTGAGAAAACCATCTTTGCAATCTTCCTGAGGCCTAGTCCTGAGAGATAAAATCATTCTATCAAAAATGAGAAAAGGGAAAGGGAAATTAAAATGACGCTCATCCTCAAGCTAAGATGACAAAAGACAAAAGAACTTCTCAAGTCTTTCTTGTGTTTTTCAAAGGAAACTAAAAAAAAGTGATATACACAAATTCCATCAAGAGAAATTGTGTGTTCTGAAATGCAAGCATGGAGCCAGTAAATAGCCAGATATGACACTTGAAGTTGTCAGAGTCTAATTTTCACTCACATTTGGTGTTTGCTGAAGCAGCCTATTTTATATAAATGTATTTCTCTATTTTGTGCTAGTCACAGATAAGTCAGAGGGAAAAACCTTTGAAGGCTTTCAAACAAGATTTGCATGCATTTAGCTTGCAAGATAATTTAGACACCTAAATTCTTTTATTATTTTTTTCTTCCTCAAACAGCTATATAGCAATGAATTTGCCTTTTGAAAGTATGCACATAGCAACCTCACATTGTGCAGAGCCTTGGTGTTTATCTACAATCTGGCCATGTTGGAATTTCAATGAAGATATCTTCCAGGTTAGGAACTTCAGTTTAGTCTGTTAGATTTCCCCTGCAAGTAGCAAGTCTAACTCTACCTTTTTATTTCTCATAAGCAAAGAAAAAATAATTCATCTCGGATGTTAACATTCTCGACCTGAGTGGATTTTAACCCACTCTATCCTTGCATTACAGTAACAAGCATTCATTATTTCAAGTGTATTACTAAATAGGATAATTCCTAAAAGATTTTGATTTATTAGGACTACAATGAATAAAATTTCAAGATGTAGCTTAGACAATTATGTTTCCTAGAAGAAAATTGTATGCTATGAACAATAAATTCCTTATCAAAAAAAGGTATTTTATGCTATTCTAATATGTAAGCAAGCAGATATACCTTAAATTGTCTGCTGACATCAATTTTTGTTTGATTCTGTTTACACCGAAGTTTTCTATGTAAAACTTTTGACTTTGCAGGATAAATGTTTGCTAGGGAGGTGGAAGGGCAAAGACTGCTCCAGCAGTCCAGCTACAAGGATATTCACCTTGAAGGTAGGTTCTCAAGTTTCAGTTCCACTGGCAAATAATATTTATGTACTTGCACAAGCCAGAGTACCTTCAGTAAAAGGTATTAAACTGGCTTAGACTGCTCACAAATCTGATCTTCAGGAAATCTTATCCAGTCCCTTGAAGGAGCTGTTTCAACATAGGGTCTATACTTTAAATTGGAAAGATTTAATAGATACAACTTTTTTAAAATGAAAGTTTTCCTTTTATTGCATTTTGTGAGAAAGAATAGGACTGTTTCAAGTGGTCGCCTAAGGAAGAAGTTAGGCAACTTTGAATTTCGGCAGTGCAAAGCTCCAATTTGTATACAACTGATATTAACTCCCAGGAATTACCATAGAAATGAAATATAAGTGGAATTTATTCACTGATTTTTAGCCTGTTGGCTGCAGGACACATTTCCAGACTTTGCATTATAATGAGTGGTTTAGCAAAGAAAGTAATATTTGGCTGTCGGAGACACCTGAAGCACTTATGGCACACCTGAGCCCTGTATGGGAACATTGGGTATTCCTGGTTTAAATTCTTTAAGGAAATAATTAAAAAATAAAAAAATAAAAATATTATACAAAAAAAAGCCCAACCAAGTATTTTACATTCACATGAAACTTTGGAAACATTAATTGACCTTTGAATATAATGAAGACCTGAGATGTCCAAGACTGTGTGTACACAGCAGATGCCTGCATTTAACAGTATAATTTTTGTCTCTCCAATATGTCATATTCTTATGTGTGTTCCTATCCCCAGTGTCCTTGTCATGCCTATTCTTGCAGAAGCCAAAGTCTCTTCCCCAGACTTAGCTGCAACTTCCAGGCCAACCAAAGTCAATGGGATCTCCATGGTGGCTCAGAAACAACCCTTCAGTGAGGTGTCAATCCCCTGCTCTAGACAAGGCACCGGTTTGTCATGCAGACCTACAGGCTGTCCCCGAGCAAGTAAAAACACTCATTTAATAAAAATGTAAGTAAAATGGACAGCTACAGCTTTCTTTCACTCTTGTCACAGCTATAGCTGTACAATACTTCTGAGTAACTCCTGAAGAATTTAACTAATGGCAGCTTTTCTTACTAAGATCCACATTAGTGTTGAAAACTTCACTGTTAATACTGAAATAGATATGCATAGCTTAGAAATGTACATAATGTAGTTTTATATATAATGCTTCTGGATTTTTATTTATGCCTTTGTGTAAACATGTGCTTTTCATATCTTCATATTTTCATCTATTATCAAAGAAATTAAATTTATTCCATTAGGAGACATGAATTTATCTAATTTCTTCTGCCTTTGTATTTTGTGGAAAAATTCCTGTGTATGTGCCATGTGCATGTGTTTTAGCTCCCTTAAGCTAATTCAGAGCAGGGGCAATAGACAGAGCTTTATTAACCTCCAAGAAGGCAAAATTATAATTGTTCTACCTGTTTTGAAAGACAGATTTAAAAAAAAAAATACATTTTTTTTCTCTTACTTATGAGGGACTTATCTTTAAAATGTTGCTTAATTAAAAAATCCCAGGAGTTTTTGTGTTAGTGTTTTAACTCCCTTTAATCGCACTACAAAGCAAACACTGAATGGTAGATAAGTTTTTCAGAATCTACACTTGCTAGTAGAATTTTTCAATCAGTGGTAATATTGGGGTGATTGCAGATTAACAAAGGCAATGTTGTAGCCAAGTTTCTGTGGCCAGGTTTCCTATCTACCACTGAAAATGGAAGATCTCCCTCAGTGCCAGTGTCAAGGGAGATGTTTGGCATGACAGTGTCAATGAGAGCTTAGGGACTCCTCAGTGCAGGCATCATTGATTTAAAAGACAGTTATAGCTCCTCTGGAATAATTTGGCCTATCCCCATAAATACACCCTTAGGGACACTAAAGCACACATTACTGGAACAATAGAGTGTGATAGTTGTTCGTTCAGTTTTACACTGCTGATATTGTAGTTGAAGGTGTCATTCAATCTTTAGACAAAAGTAGTTAGAGGATTATTTTACACTTCCAGCATAGGAAGAAGTTGTATCCTCATTTTTGTTAGGGCTAAGATTTGTATTATCTTAAATCCTATGAAATCATAGTGACAAAATCCTACAGCGAAAATGAGAAAAACTGGACTGTGTTGGGGCAATTTGCTATGATTGAAGGAATTGTCTTTAGTCCTCCTCCCTCTAGGTTGTTGGAGGACTTTTTTCAGTTAATCTTGCTCTTTGTCCATGTTCTCAGTCAATAATTCTCTTTGTTTGCACCCACATATAATTTGTTTTAGTGGGTTTTATTTTCTTTGCTATGGACTATATACTTTTATTTTAGAGATAGTAAAAATGCCAGACTGCTATTTCTGTGCATTACATTAACCCAATTCTGAAGTGTAATATGCCATGAAGAGCTTAGCCATAGAGAATCAGTGTTGTTTTAGGGAGAAAACAAATGAAGTCTCAATAACACAATATGTGGATACTAGAAACTCATGCAGATAAAGTGTGAAGATAGGTCTGATGTTCACTTCTACAAGAAATGGGGAACTTATGCAACATTTAAGGTCTTTATATCATTGTAAAAGTATAACCAAAACTTAGTAATGAACACTTATTTGGACAGACCAAAGGATGTAGTCAACCAATGCTAGAAGGCAGTTGATCTTGAACATCCTTCCCCTTCTTGTCCTGTTCTTGTCCCTTGCTTGTCACCATACATTGGTCAAAATATGTAATGTTTACAATAATGTTTTGAAAGGCTTCTCTCCTATAATGCAGAAAAGATAAATGCTTATTTTACATTTTGATGTTGGCCAGTTAGACAAATATTTTTTTCTTATCTGTATTAACAATAAGTGTCCAGATCACATATATATTTAAAAGATTATTGTTATATTCACTTCTGAAAAGAAACACTATTAAATACAGAAGACAATTGAAGCCATTTTTTTTTCCCCCTTCTCAACACATGGCTATCAAAAAACAAGCACAACTCCCCTGAACAAAAAAATATTTTTAGTAGTTTTCACCATTTAAAATGGTGTAACTGCAGTGAGTCATGATGAATGCAAGAGGTTTCACTACCTGAAAGGAAGAGGTTTTGCCTTCAGATCTCTCAAAGGATTTGCCTTCCACTGATTTGGTGTGAGAACAGTCAAACTGATTATTTTATGGAGAAGCACTCATTCATTCCAGGCAATCATTGTCATATAACCAGGATATTTTTCAGTCTTTGGTGTTCACACCACATCAAGAAGAAATAATACTAACACTTTGTGCTGGTTTTGCATTAATTGGTATTTGGTGATAAGGGAAGAACACACAGAAATGATTTTTCTGGGAGGGGCTGCTAAGAGCTTCCTCTGTGCTTAGCAAAAACCAATAGCTGGCTAGCTCTGAGAATTGACAACCTATTAAACCATTTAGAAGCTGGGTCCACCTCTGTGAGATTCACATTTTAAAGATGGGTAAAACCGGGAAATCTTTCTCTTCCGGCTCTTGAAGAGGTAGCTGGCTGATCCAGTCCCACACAGTCCGTGTGGCCAGGCTGGGCAGGCCCCATGTGGCCTGGCCGAGATTTTCTGTCCCCTCAGGGGAGGTGAGCGAGCTGCAGAGCCCCTCACTGGGGAGTCCACTGGGCCCGGTCCCGGCAGGCGGCTGGGGCCCCTTCCCAGCGAGGTCAGGCCTCTTCCAGGCGGAACCTGCCAGACCTTTTTCCAGCGGCCGTGCCAGCTGCAGGCTCTATCGGGGCTGGGAGTGGCCCTGAAGCAAGGAGTGGCCGGGGTCTGGGAGTGGCCACTGCTGGCCCAGTCTGGGAGCGGCCACGTAACGGGGACTTCGGGGCCAAGAAATCGGTGCAACTGGGACAATGGTGCGTGGTCATGGCTTCCTCATGCTGGCTCACAGTGAACTTTCTTTGGTCAGCCACTTTTAGCCAGCCATGCTGCAGATAGAAGGACAAAAACAGCAGCAGAAGCTTTTCCTGTTCCAGACACTCCTCACGAAGAAAAGCGCTGAGTGGAGCCGGTGGCCGGCACGGCTCGCACGGTGTCAGCAGAGACCCCGTGAGCAGCAGTGAGAGGCACGGTGAGCGATCTCCCTGATGGACAGCCTGGATGAGATCAACCTTTCAGTGCTGCAGAACTCTATAAAAACTGTTTCAGTTGGTAAAGCTTGAGAACAAATGAACCTACAAACACCAATTGTCTCCCAAATCAGGAAAAGGAGAGGGGTGAAGACAAATAAAGTAAAAAAGATGGGACACTGAAGTAAGTAAAGGAAGAGACAAATTCTAGTTAGGAGCGGATTGAGGAGATGCCTTTGTCTTGGGCTGAAATTCTCTATGTAAGGCTATGGTGAAGATTTATTTTTGATATAACAGACTTTGTTTTTTCCCTGTAATTCGTGAAGCGCATGGGGGGATGCAGCACTTACCTGCAGTCCATGAGAAAAGAGCACTTGTGCTGGAGCATGTGGATGCTGAAAAGCTGTAATCTAATGAGAAGCTTGAACAGAGAGAGATGAGGAACTTTGCTTCAGGGATAGAAGAAGAAAAGCCTCTGTTCCCAGAGATAAAAGAAGAGAACTTTTGGTTTTCTATGCTAGAACAGTTCATCCTTAAAGTAGTACTCCCTACGTTGACATGACCCATGTAAGCAGCTTTGGGAAAGCTGCAAGGCATGGGAGGGACTTTCAAACTGTGAACAGATTTTCCTTTCCTGGGAGGCTGATTCACTGTGACATGAAAACCACAAGAGAACTGTTTCTTGTTGAGAAGTCTCCATGGCATGGCAAGAGAAACTCCTCTCCCTACAGGAACTGATGAAGAAAGACTATTGTAGAAGTGGTAATATATTGAAAATGCGAGGTTTTGTCTCTGCGTTTTCTGTGGAGAGAAAAGAGGTTGTGGGGAGGGGAGAAGTGTTGTGAAGGTTTTGTTCTGATTCTTACTATTCTTTTAATTCTGTTAATAAAGTTTTCTTTATACATTTTAACTTTTGAGCCTGCTTTGCCTTCCTCCTAATTCATATCTCACAGCAGGAAATGAGTAAATAATTCTAATAGGTGCACTAGTGATTTTAAACCTGCCACACACTTTCTAATTTATTTTATAGCAATGAGTAAAAACCAACCTTTGAAAGCTTAGTTGCCTTTGGAGGAGGAAAACTAAGAGGATATAATACAGGCTACTGAAATTAGAGCAGGACAGAGAACAAGAACTTTTTTGCTGTCTAAGCATTCTGATGAATCTGAGATTAAATTAATTAGGAAAATAAGATTTCTTCTCAAGCTTAGTGGTACTTTAACTGAGATGTTTGTTATCTGACACTGAGACTGCCTTGCACACATTAGCAACGTTCATCGTTTTAATCTCCATTTTAACCCCGTGACAGATCAGTCTCACCGACACTGACCACTGGGAAAGTCCATTGACAGGGCTAACTCCAGCACCTTTCAGGGAAGTTGGGACCAGGCTGGTTGGGCAAGTAAAGAATCATGCCATGGGCCCTTTTATCTTTTGCTTGACACTATTAACCAAACCAATGCAGACATAGACTACATGCACAAAAAATATCTATACTGTAGCCCAGTTATATCTGAATTACTGTGATATGATGCTCCCATATGATCGACATATGATTGATGGGATTTTTTCCAAATGGAAAATCATTCCATGGATCAGTGCAGGAAGGTAAAAACCCTCATTAAAAAAATAATGATTCAATACTTTAGAAATTCAGAGAATTGATTCTTTGTTTTCTAATTTGCTAGTGTAGCATTTGTTTCCATTTTACTTGGAAGGCAATCGTAAGTAATGTGCTCTAGATGACACTGAGCAGGGAGGTTGGTCTAGATAACCTCCAGTGGTCCCTTCCAACCTAAGCCATTCTGTGAAGTTCTGTGAAATCACCCAGACTGGATATCAAGTGGGAGAATCAGCCTCCTTTTTTATTTATTATCACATAATTGTGAAATAGCATCTATTTTTGACTTGAGATTAAAAAAAACAACTGAGGAAAAAAGTGTTATTTTGAAAATGTACTTATAAGTAGTAAAGCTAAAAAGTTTGCTTGCAAGAGCTTGTTAATGAGTTCATTTTCAATGGGTCATTGATGAAGTTATTGTTGTCACAAGAATATTTCCTTGTTAGAAAAATAATCTATCAAAATGGGTCTTTTTTGATTTTTGTAGTGGTCAGTCAAGGAAATAAAAAAGAAAACATATGTGTAAAGAAATACAAGGAGAAGAATATGAAGCTATTAAAGAAATAAAACTGTTAAGACTTTGCTAACCTGGAGTTCACCTGCCAGAAATCATATTGACACTAATTGCATTACTGATTCAAAATAATGAGATGGATTTCAAATCATCACTAATAAAGTTATGATAATTAATTACCGAGATATTGAGAATAATAAGCCTTCTTACCACCCTCA